CGGGGTCACGAGCTGCTTTCAAAAAGTTGAACACCATATTCGGAAACCCACCCGTAGGAATGCTCCCCCCACACGCGGCACAATACCCACTCCCCTCCCCTTTTTCATTCCTTCCTCCCCCGCTTCCTCCTCCTGCCCCTTCCTCCTCCCACCCCTCAGCCTTTAATCCTTTCCCTGCGAGAGAAAGGGATCGGGAAGAAAAGATGAAGTGTCTGTTTTTGTGTCCCAACCTTAGGGCTCTTGTCTGGGCCCGCAGTGAACGACTGCCCAGAGCTCCGAGGCTGAGCAGAGAAGGACCCACGGCCGGGGAGGAAGAGAGATGGGATGGGGTGGGGGTGAGATCCCCCCAAGTAGGCCTTGGCCGGTCTTCCCTTTGGGCGAATATTTTTCTGCCTCAGTCCGTGGATTTAGGACCAGCGACCCTCGACTGCCTCGGCCTGAGTGGGCGGGTATCGGCCCCCTCACCCTGCCCAGAGTCTCCCAGCAGCTCCTGCGTCTCTGCCCAGGGGTCCTGGCGCTGGGGAGTCACTGCCTAAAGAGGGCTGGAGCTCGGGGTTAGGGGCCGGCACACTCACAGCCCAGTCACGTTAGTTTTCCCATTGAAATTCTCTCTCAACCTCCCTTCTTCCCTCATTGAGATCTCCAAAGGGCAGTCAGTGGGCTCCGCACCTCGCTCACAGATCTGCATCGGAATGTAGAAAAGATCTTTTTTAAAAAAAAGTTTTGAATTCCTCAATGATTTTTCTTCTGGAAAGGCAGCTTAGGATAATTATGTCAGCTTTATTGAGGGCAGATTAGTTGAGGTCTGGACGCTGCGTTTCAATGCACGTTGTACACGGGCCGACAATGTGGGCATTGTTGGCTACTGTGTGTGAACTCATTCAAAATATACACTTTTAAACACCAACCCGAGTCCCTGTCTAAATATACACAGTGCTCTGCGGAAAGACGGCTCTGACCCGGACAAATCTGCGTAAATCACACTCCCATAGTTACAGAGGCTTCACAAAGGGAGGCCCGGCTCAAGATGCTGATTACATCTTCTTAAAAGCGACATACCTTAGAATAAATACTCACGCTGGGTCTGGGGGCTGCAGTGACCAAAGGGAGGGAGGGCCCTCTCCATTCTTTGGGCCCTGTGGGGTCTATTTCAGGCTTGTGATATTATTTTCCTTAGAGAAATTTGACAGTTTATTATTATTTTTCTTTACAATATGAGCAAGCAAGCAATGTTCAGGCCTATCCACTTCTTTGGGGCAGCCTCTAAAGTTTGGGTGCCTTTCTGGGGCT